TGAAATCACTCCATAACACTTATTCAGCTCAAACTTTGTGGTAACAAGAATAAAGATGAGGACAATGGTCCCTATGTAAATAGTGTAAGTAATAACTCCTTATCCCAGAAATTTGGGCTACAATCTCCTGTTAAACATTTTATATCATGGCAATCTTTATATAACTGAAATTTTCTATATTTATTCACAATTGTTTACATGCAGACTACTGTCCTGATCTTTTGTTTTGTTATCACAATGTTTTATAAATAAATAAAAATTTACTTGTACTATATTTTTTACAGTAAAAGTAATGTACAAATATATAGCTGATTTTTTAATTTGTTGACTACATTTACTGTTCAGTACACTACTGTATAAATGTCTAGAAATAAATTAAAAGTATTACAAATGGTGCAAATGTGACATTAAAACTACCTGAATCTGTTTGACAGAAAACCTTTACATATATAGTATGCCTGAAATACTGGTCAGATATAATTTCTCATTTAGCAACCAGATCTTTGGAACAGAACTTGCTCATTAAGACGTGGCTTTATTTTATTCTGGTGCCAGTGATCAAAGTTCAATCTCATGTTAAATATAAAAACACTTTCTTTTTTTTTTTTTTTTTTCATGGTAAGCCTTTTTTACTTGAAATGACAGTATAACACAATCTTCCCCACTTCGTATCTTCTGATTAAACATTGTGCCTCATTAAACTGAGCTGAATAATTCTATTATTTTTTTTCCTCTACTTATATTTCTCTAATTTTCTTTGTAAACATGGGGATAATAGCAAAGAAATTACTACTTATTGAACAAACATTGGAACCCTTAATAAAAACAAAAGTGAGAAGAAATAATTTTGGCCATAATCCTCGTTTCATATACCTTTTTGTGATTGCTCCTATATCAGTCACAAACGAATCTCCTCACAGATGAAGAGATTTGAGGTAACAAATGTGGTTCTGCAAAATGATGCTGAGAATATCATGGACTGAATATGTGTGCAATAAAGTTGTTTTAGGGAAAATGGAAACAAAAAGGTGGTTTATTATTAAAATCAGAAAGAAACTTCAAATTTCTTGGGCACCTAATGAGGGCTTAGAGAATTTGACACTCACATGACATTGAAGGTAAGAATGGCAGGAATGCAGCTAATAATCTACTTAACAAACTTGTGCAAATGGTTGGCAGAATAAGAATTAGGAAAAACAGTAGAAAGAAACTTAACTAAGGGCTACAAAGGACAGGATGTTGTGGATCAAACATATCCTGAAGGACACAACATGTAGAAGAAATTTAGTAACATAACTGCATTGAGGAAGATCTAATTTTTTAAGCAGGAATGTTATAGAATGTAGTTTGGTGGGCAAAGTTACAAAACAACAAAATAGGTTTTTGGCGAGGTTTATTTTGTTATACTGTTCATCAGAGAAAATATTTATTTTCATTATTTTCTTAAAATAATTTTTATTTTTACTAATTTATTTTAAATTATATAATCCATCGTGGTTAATATGACTGATTAATGAAACAACTTTTTTTTATTACTATTAACATTATTATTGTTATTTAACATTATAAAGAACTATTATTATTTTTAAATCTCTAATAGATGAGTAGGTTGGAAATTTAATTCAAAATTAATTTGTTTCCAAAATACACAAATAAAGAAAGGACAGGAGATTGTAATAAACAGGTTAAAAGTGGAAAATAAATAGTGTGTTTCTGGAATAACAGTGGGTAGGCTGGGGAAAAAATGACCAAGCCCATCTATTCCAGATACAGGAGAATCTTAAATAAATGTACAAAATGAAGTAAATAATTTTGACAAAAATAAACAAAGTGAGTGGCTTGCAAACATTTAAAATGTTTGCAGGTTGGGTTATAAGCAATTATCAAGTTGTAATGCACTTGCTTTTTTATTTAGTTATTTATTCATATAATACAAGTACTGTTTGGCATTAACGTTTAGATATTTAAATTAGCTTAATATTTTTAACAAAATTACTCCAGAAAGTTTTTGTTCACATGAATTTTAAAAAAAACAAAAAGAATATCTTAATTTGGTTGATATCTTGACTTCATTCCAAAAATAAACAGGGGATTATGGGATTGCATGTTTTTTTTTTTTTTTTTTTTTTTAACTGTTCATGATTGCTCAAAAAAAAAAATTCATTGAAAATAATCTGACATTATTAACAATGAAGAAAAGCCTTTAAAGAGGTTTTCTTGATAATTGTTGATTTCGCTGGGTCTGAAGTGCTATTGTTTAATATTTTCAATCTCAATAGAATAAAATTTCATTTCATTTTTAAATTATTGAGTTTTTCTGAATAGTTTTGATAAATTAGATTTTTGGTAATTGTTGTAATAGTAGTTCATCCCTCCAACCTTTTTATTTTTGTTTAAATATAGGAAGTTGATGGCTTGAAGTTCCTAAAAGATGATGAGAAAACCAATTATAGAAAGACTAGGACATTTCTTCACATGTAATTTCTGTATCCTGAAAAATTTAATGACCTAAAGATTTTTTTAAAAATTCTTTTTTTGATCTTCAGAAATTGTATCGTTTTTTATCCTTTGTTTTGTTTAAAGTCTTAATCCCAAGATTTTTTTGATTTGAACCTGAAGAAAATTATATGATTAAAATATAATGGAATTTCTTTTTAGAGATTTCTGAAAAATTTATTTGAATAAAACCTGTTAAAAAAACAAAACTGTCCTTTTCAAATCTCATTGAATTCAATCAGAAAGTTTCCTCTGAGATCCAAGAATCATCTAAATTTTAATTATCTTTACCATATAAAACAATTTACTCTGCATTCTAAATATTTTTTTTTCATATCGGGCACCTCAATGTGTAATATTTAGCCAGCTTGTCTTGCTAGAACCATGAGTAGTTAGTTCAATGTTCAGTGGGTGCCCTATGCTTTTGGCCTTGTGCTGTATCTAAGCTGTGCTTAGAAAATCACCTTGTTTTTTATGTATCAGATCTCACTTAAACTACATTCAAGAATTTTTCAACATTTTTATGTTGAACAATGGTCATTGCTCTAATCTCTCCATTCATAAAGCTTGAAACAAAGAAAATATGGCAACTTTAGACATTTTAATGAGGTTGTATCAAAGGTCATTTGTTTTACAAATCTAAAGTAATTGGTACCTTTTAATTCTCAAGTAGTCTCTGATTCCTTATGACTTGAACTTACTTTTGGAATACTAAATCTTAAAGACATTTTCTCACTTGTATCTGCAAGTGAGAAAATGTCTTAAAACTGTTAAACCAAGGATTTATTTTTATATTAACACTTTCTATCTGGAGCTGACAAATATTGAAGAATTATTTTATTAACCTGTTGGGGGAAAACTGATTTACTTCCCTTATAGAGGATGATAACTCAAAATGGGGTATTTCCCTTGTCTGGAGGTCATGCAGCACTTCTAAATTAAACATGGTGATAAGCTGACATGCATATGGAATTCATGGTTTAAATCCAAACAAATCTTTGCTGTTCTCAGACAGTAAATGAATAAAAGCAATTTTATTGTCATAAAATATGTTTGTCTATTATTTTCATTGTTTTTGTTCATCCCAACAATCTGGGGTATAATATAACCCAAGAGGGGAAAAAAATTGTGCATATTTTGTGCATGTGATATTTTTTTTGTGCATGTGATATTTTTTTTGTGCATGTGATATTTTTTTTGTGCATGTGATATTTTTTTTGTGCATGTGATATTTTTTTTGTGCATGTGATATTTTTTTTGTGCATGTGATATTTTTTTTGTGCATGTGATATTTTTTTTGTGCATGTGATATTTTTTTTGTGTATGTGTAATTTTAGCTGGGTGAATGTTTGAGAAAGCATACCATCACAAATTTGGATATTATCTACTGGTCGATATAGAAGACATTTTGGAAAAGTTATATGTTGGACTCCCATATATACACTTTAATTTTTTTTATATTGATTTATTTGATAAATGTTTGCAATTTCAGTTTAAACCAAATACAAAAATTGTTGTTGCAATCAGTTATATAAGCAAGTAATCTCTTGTTTTGCTGTCATCTTGGTTATTATAGTGACATTTTGGCTGTTGTAGCCACAAACCTTTTTGTCCTGGGTAAGATGTTAAACTACGTCCAGCAGCAAGGCCTCTGATCAGGAAGTTTTGAGGAGCGTGGAACCAACTCCTAATTGCTGGTGTTCCCAGGTCCACTCTGACCTGGGGTGGTAGCACCTGTTAGAGTCCCAGCTATAGGCAAATAGTTAACTATTACCAGCAATACTTTTTTGAAAAAAAATATTATCAGCAATATAATTTTGAAGGAAATATATTACCAGAAACAGATTTTTGACAAAACAAAATATTACCAGCAATAAAAAATTTTGTCTGCATTAAATAACCCATTGAGGTTGATATGCCGTAAAACAAAATAAACCAAACCAAACCAATCTAAACCAAAGAATATATATTCTATTCATATGAATCTATCCTAAAAAGGTTGTTGGCATTAAATAACCCATTGATGTGACGTTAAACAAAATAAACTAAGCCAAACCTTCTTTAGGTGTCTGTCGTATTTAAATACAAATTTTCAATGATCTCTTTTATTTAATCTGTTAGGGTTGATTGTTCTTATTCTGCTATCTGTTAGAGGATATATTGTATCAGTTTGAAATTTACCAGAAGGCAAACATCTGTGACCGATTCCTGAAGATGGTCAGAGTGGCATATAGTCGAAATATCAATCTGACCAATGTGACTTGGTGAATAATTTTCTCACCTTAAAAAATTCAAAGATAATCTATGTGCAACTGTATCTATATGCCAGACAGATTTGGTGAGATTTGAACACACTATCACAGCTGCTCCAAGATTCGCCTTTTATGAAGGAATCTAAATATGCATGAATGTATTCATAATTCAGTATAAAATTATATCAGAACTTGATATCCATCACCAGTCAAGTAATCAAAGTTGAGAATTTGTTCTTTTCTCAATGGGCGTATGGCCATATCATATTGAAACATTGGTTCTCATATGATCACCAAAGACAAGCAACATCGAGCCTGGTCAGTACCTAGATGGGTGATAGCCTAGGAATAACAAGTGCTTTAAGCTTTGATGTGCAGATTGTGTAATGGATAACAGTTCCAAGTTAGAGATCTGAGTTCCAATCCCAGTTGGGTTCCTTATATTCATCTACATGCAAATATCCATGGGAAAGGTATTGATCCACCTCCTCCCACCAGCTATGGGTTAATTAGGAGAATTAATCAGTAAATTACTATTATTTCCCCAAAATTCTTAGAATCTAAAAATATTTTCTGGCTTTAAATAACCCGCAAAAGGTTGATAAATCATAAAAAAGTAAATTTCTCTCAATGAAGTGTGTGTATATATATATATATATATATATATATTTTTTTTAGAAGAGGAAAAACTATACCAAACTGACATATTTTGTCTTGATAAAGTCCCACAGCAAACTGCTAAGTATAGATTTTCCTCTTGTCTCTTTTTATTTATCTATATAATAAATGCAAATGTCACTGTCTCCCTTTTTCAGTTAAAGGGACACAACTCTCTAACTTTCAATAGCTCATATTACAGTAATTTTGGATTTCCAATTTCCATTACTGTGATGTTGTTTTTTTTTTGTTTTTTTTTTTTTGTTTGGGACACTTTTTGTACGATAACAATTTTTATAACTTGGAAATAAATTTGGGAATAATTGAAATTAATTACAAAATCCAATGAAAGTTACCCATAAAATAAAAAAATAATTGTTTGTATTGCAAGTAAAGAACTACGCACATCAAACTGTCTTTAAATTAAGTGGTGGCAGAAGAATTATCATTGAAGTCTGAAAAGGTAAACTTCAATATTAATGCAATACTTAAATGCAGCGATCAATTTTGAGTCCTTCTGTAGTTTATAGTTGCCTATTGCATATAGCAGTAGTATGTCTTGCAAAAAGAAATCCCCCCACAAATAGAGGACCAGATTGCAATCAAAAGAGCCAAGGCTGTAGCAAAGAAAAGAAAGTAAATGTAAATGAACCCAGATCAAACAGCAGCCAGGAGAGCTTCCAATGTTGAGGATATGGAAAGACTTAAGGACTCTCAAACTCCTGAATAAGCCAAAGGTCCAATGAAGAGCTCTCTGTAGGATCTAGCTTAAATGCTGCCCAAAAGTGTGGGTTTTAAGCTTGTGTATATATATATATATATATATATATATATATATATAGTAGCTTAATTCAACTTTGATTTCAAAAACTTTCAGTATTTGACATGAGTTATCAGCAGAATTATATGAAGATACAATCTCTGATTTGAAATTCTTGGTACCAGGCACTTTTTGGTAATGTTAATTTTTCAGAATCTGCTTGTAGTGTAATAACTATTAGCAATGAAAATGAAATCGGAAAGCAGACTTAAAATTCCAGTCTAATCTCTGCCATTCACTTTTATATTAATGTCCTTGGGGAAAAGCATGAGTTCATCTCTTTCCTCTGCCACCCTAGATATAGGTTAAAAGTAACCAGGACTCTTTAGTACTTCACTATCTTTCCCATGAAATATTAGAGAAAAAGGAAACTGAAAATTAAAGGGACATGCTAATAATTTGTATATACTTTTAATTTACATTGTTAAAAAACTCTGGAGCTTTTTAACAATAAGTAAAAGTTCATTTATCATTAGGACTTTATTTTTAAGCAATATGGCAGATTCTATATGCAAAACGCTCTCTTTTGAAGAAAAATAACTCATTATCGCTAACTATCAAGTCAATTTCAGAAATTTCTGATATTGTTCATAGGTCTAAAAGTGTTGTTCATCGTGCAATTAGCAGGTATAAAACTGATAAAACGTTAGATGCAAAACCAAAAACCGGCAGACCTCTAAAGACATTGCAAAGAGAAGATCTAAGAATTGTTAGAATATCTACAAAAAACGTTTTGAAACTGCTACATCAATTGCTCGTAAATTTAATGAAGAGACAGATAAGATGATCTCAAGGACAATGGTTGCTCGCAGGTTAAAAATGCAGGATTGCATGCCTGTATTCCAGCTTCGAAGTCTCTTATTTCAAAGCGAAACCAATGGGCACGTCTGGAGTATGCGAGAGAACATGATGGGATACAGTTCATTTCAGTGACGAATCCGAGTTTACTATATTTGGTTCTGAGGGCAAAACTTACGTATGCTGTAGAACAGGTGAAAGACTGTCTTCTCAATGTGTCAAGAAAACTTAAGTTTGGTGGCGGCAGTGTGATGGTGTGGGGAATGATTTCATCTGCAGGAGTTGGCCCTATCATCCGCATACATGGCAATATCAATGCTGAGATTTACAAAAGGCTTCTTCAGCAGCATGTGGTACCAAGATTACACCATAATCTTTATGAATCTCCTATTTTCATGCAAGACAATGCACCTTGCCACAAGGCTCAGAAGGTTATGGCTTTATTTGAAGAAGGAGGAATCGCCCTAATGAAGTGGCCAGCCCAGAGCCCTGACCTGAATCCAATAGAAAATGTTTGGAAGATAATTGGAGAAAGGGCTCAGAAAAGAGACCCGAAAAACCAGGATCACCTATGGGAGTTATTGAAAGACAAATGGGAGGAAATTACTGCTGATTTTTGCAAGAAATTAATTAGATCATGTGGTCGACAATGCAGAGAAGTCATTGAAAATAAGGGGATGTTTACCAAATATTAAATTTTGTTGATATTTTGTTCACAATCAAGTATTAAGATCATTCCTTAACTTTTGTCCAGTAGCTTATTTCCTTTGTTCCATTTACTCTTTATTTAAAAAAAAAAACAAACTATTATGTAAATTTTTGTAACTTTGTATAATATTTATGCATGACACCCTAATCTTTATTCGGTAAAAATTTCATTGCTAATCATGCATTACTTTTTAAGTAATACACATATTTATGTCTTTCTTGATTCCGTTCCTTATATTATGGCTGCTACTGTATGTATATATATATATATATATATGAGAGAGAGAAAAAAATTATAATGATCACTGTGACTGTAGATGATTCTCCAAAGCTTTTGATTCTGTCTGAAATTATCATCAGGGGAAGGAACTGGTGACAAAAAGCCTGCTTCGCAATTCCCAAATATATAGTGGTAGTCTTGCTATCAACACTGTAATCCGTTGATTTTTCTGTTAATTGATTAGTTGTCGATCCATGTGTTATGATTGGTCCATTTGAATTGGTTGTCACCGATTGGTTCAGAAATGTTCCATTTATCACATTGTTACCATGTGTTTCTATTGATTGGGCATAGTTGGTATGCACCATGTGTATTGCATGATAGTTTTTTTTTTTTTTTTATTTGTTTGATCTATAAACTGCTGGTTTTATGAATTGTTGGTGTGTCACAGTTTGAATGTATATATGAAATCCAATTCACTGTGATGTTTAATTGAAATAAGAAATATTGCATGATGGTTTAGGTAATGATTACTTTGTGAAATCTAGGACTGGTCAGTTTTGGGGTAGACTTTGTCCTGTAATTGATTGAGATATATATATGATACTTTGTATTTGAAATAGATGACCCATTTTTATAAGGTGTGTGTATTATGTCTATTGGCCTGCAGATTTGAGAAATAGTTTAAAAAAAAATGGCCAGTGATTGAACCTGGATCACTGTCTGTATGGGAAAACATTGCTTAATGCAGTGTGCTTTACAGCAAAGCCATGAAGGGAAGAAAAAAATGATGGATTAAAAATAAATACATTAATTCTTTTTATATATATATATATATATATATATATATATATAAAATGTGAATAAATTGTCATTTAAATTATGCAAAAATGAAAATAACTCTGACATCTCATTTTAAAAGATATATTTACCAAAATTACACAAAAATATCTTGAAATACTAAAGAGTAAATTTATTCAATAAAATCCCCATTGGCTTCCACCATGGCCTCTAGATGAAATTTCAGGCAGAGTGAATTGTGTTATCGTGATCTTTTTCTCACAGATGGTGCCTAACTGACCCTACGATACTGTGCAGTCGACAAAATCAAATGGTGAAAATTTACCCATCACACCGTGTGTGTGTATACATATATAGGACACTGAGGTCAACACCAAGAAGCTGTTTCATGCTTGAATGCAAACTTCAGGTCATCTTTTTAGACTATGAAACTATGATGCTGCTCAGTGTTGACCTCAGGGTCCACTTTTATATTTACATATGCTCTATCCCTCATATTGAACACTTTTACCCATAAATATAGCATACCTTAAAACTATATTTGTATCATATATGTACTAGCTTAAAAGCCACCCTATCAGGTGGCATTTAAGCTAGATCTTGTGGAGGGCTTTTGATTGGGTTTTGGTCCAACAATAACACTTGATGCATTGAGTACATATTAAATTTTATTAATCTTGAACAATATTTTTCAAACAATTAAGTTTTCATCAAAAAAATGATATAATTTGTCTATTTGGAACTTATTTCAAAGCTGAATGATAAACAACATTTTTGGTTTTCCCATTTGGGGTCAGTACAAATAGCTTGTTTCCATTCTCAACCCTTGAACAACCAACAGAGAGCTGGCAGTGAGAAAACAGGCTTCCATCATATAAAGTGCAGTTACTTTCAATGATTATCCTTGGGACTTATTTATTGACATTGCGTAGCTCACTCTCACTGGAGACTGACGTCTTTCAAACTCAAAAGGAAGATCTGGAGGAATTAAGGGGGTTCTTGGAATTAAAACTCTTTCCTCATTTCCTGGACCAGATCTCTGTTTCCAAGAGATGAGGAAGCATCTTGACAATTAACTTTGTTCCATTACAAAGCTTTATATGATCCAGATTTCTCAATAGCATAACTGGCACATTTTCTTTTAGTTCCAGCTTGTTTGACAGCATTCCAAGAGGATTCAATGAATTCAGGAACTTTATTGGATAATTCATTGCCTACTCTTGTTCAACCACAGTGTCAGTGAAAAAGGACTTCATGATTTCTTTTAGAATTTCTTGGACAAGTTTCCAGTTGACGCTATCCACAGTTTGCATTATTAGCTCACAAGAATCAATCATACAAAGCCAGTTTGTATCC